TTTTTAAGCAGCTTGCATTGGTTTTCCCACGGATATTTTGATTGCTCACCTTTTCTTTACTTCCTGATTGTTGAGATTGTCAGATGATAACTGGCTTTTAGTATTACGTTTTTTTGTGTGTGTGTATATATGTATGTGTACATGCAGGGAAGATAATGAGTATTATGACAGCAATATTTTAGCAATAGTTAGAATTTACTCTGGAACAGGGAATTTCCATAAAAATTTAGTGAATTTTTTTTAAGTGGGATAAGAACACAAAAGGGAATGATGGATATAATTTTTGACTATAAAGCAATGCGTTGATTTTTAAAATGTATCCTCTGTACCCATTTACTTTTATGAAACTACTAGTTTCTAAGAACTGAAGTCTTAAAATTTTTAGACTTTAGACAGTCCATATCTTCTCTATTGCACAATCCTGCACTCTTGTAACTGTGCATTAAATAGCACCAGTGATACTTGGAAGCACTCTTGTGGGTATGGTTTTGACCCTAATAATTTTGAAATATTTGAACATTAGACCCAGTGCTGTGATTACTGAATTAAGGAAAATTTTCTCTTATTTATCTTTTAGGACCCAACAGTAGTGATTGGCTCAGGTTTAACAATGGAAGAAATGATTTTTGAAGTGGCTGATACACATCTATTTTTCAATGATTTAGAGGTGAGCATTTTAAATTGTTTCTGGGCTTCAGTGAGAAGTTTTGTTCAATAACAATTTTAGAATTTCTGCTTATTATATTTAGAAACTACATGTTTAGGCAGGGTGGGTATGGAGGCCAGCTGGACACTTAGGCATAAATAGTCAGAGAGAAATAAGACTGTGGTGACTGATTATGTCACCACAGGCTTGGTTCTAGTGCTCAGTTTTACTGGCTCAAAAATTTGATTTTTGTTAGCTTCTTTGGGAGTGATCTAGCACTAAGGGAAATGCTAACCTATCAGGCAAAGCACGGACATATAAACGAGTATTCCAATTTGTTAATCTGTACCAAATAATGTATATGAAGTGGGTTTGATTATTTTTGCTGTCAGTCGTATTTTGACTACTCATCAGTTTGAGCTTCTAAAAAGATAGTTCCTTGATTTGTCAAGTCTATAAATGGTTAGTCTAACCCATTATATTTTATACATGTTTATCATTCGTATATAGGTTAACCTTGATGTACAGAATCATTTTTTAGTCTGGTGCCAGAAAAATTTTAAAAACACTAAACTTTAATGGTGAGATTTTTGGGCTTTGACATTGAAGTTCACTTTTGAGGTAAATGTGGTGTAGCAGGAAGAGCACAGCATTAGGAGTTGGGAGACCAGAGTGTGAAGGTTATGGGAAGGTTATGTTCCTATTCTAGGCCTAGGTAAGCTGTTACCCTACACAGGAAACTACTAATAGTTATTGTATCTGGGGAGGGAAGTGAATTGCCAGAACACAGAGGTGGAAGGGAGCAGACTCTACACTTCATGTCCTTTTTACTTTTGAGCTGTGTACTACATATATTATTACCTAGTTTTTGAAAATAATGAAAATTTTAATGTAACATAAGAGCATTTTAGAAACCAAAAGTAAACTTTTTCCTTTTTAAAGAAGTTTAGTTCTCAGTAGATAATTCTCCAATAAATTAAATTAACAGGGTTCTAAACTTAAGTTCTTTTGTCTGTACTCCTTAATACTTTCAGCTTCCCTCAACTTTCAGATATTGGTAAATTAGGACATCATAGTTTTTATTCAGCAAACATTTATTGAAAACCTACTATGTGCCAATAATTATTGCCAAATTGTATTTGTAATGATTTTCTAGACATAGTCCTCACTCAGGACTGAAATTTCTGTGAAGAATTTGACCTGAATGTGTTCCTGCCCCCCAGGTCAGTGGTTCTCAACTTTAGGGGGCATAAGAATCACCTGGGGAACTTCTTAAAAATGGAGATTCTAGGACTTCAATCCCAGAAAATCTGATATGAGTAGGTCTGGGATGGATCCAAGAATATGCATTTTTAAAAAATTTCCCCAGAGGATTCTGATGCAGGTACCCTAGGTGGAATTAGAGAAGCGCGTCCATCAGAATTAGGCAGTGGGTGGCATTTTATATCAGTAGGCTGGGCTTGGTAGAAAGAACCTCGGATTATAAGCAGAAAACTTAGGTTCTTTCTGTTTTCTTTTTTACCACTCACTAGTTGTATGACCTTGAGAATATCATTTCACCTCACTTTTAGAACATGAGGCAGTTGGCGTAGATGACCTCTCTAAATCCTGAGTTTGAATTTACAAATTTCTATTTCAGTCAGTCTTAGTTTTTGATACCATACTCTACTAGCGTCTGTTTCGTTTACAAAAATTTATTGGGTATGTGCTACATAAGGGCATTGGACTAGACCAAAGGGATGCAAAGGAGATGTAAGATGTGGTTTGTGCCCCAAGAGGCCTACAGTGTAACAGGACTTGCAGTCTAGTGTAGGGCATAGACACACCACAAGTAAAGGGAACGTGTGCTTATTTTCATGAGCTGTTGGAGAAATGAACTACTGAGATAAGAATGCACAACTGAGGGATAGGACAGTTGAGGTGTCATGAAGACTGTGGGATGTGAATCAGGCCATAAAAGAAGTTGGATAGCAAGGGGTGTGAGAATGATCACACACACATAAGAGAGACCATCAATCATTTCATCATCCTGCCATTGTATGTGATCTTTTTACAATATGTCATGGTGGTAATAACTCTTCTACTCCTGGCACTGAAATAGTGTGTTTTGTCTTTTAACAGGAGTGTGACCAGGTGCATGTGGAAGATGTGGCTTCTGATGATAATGGCCAAGACTTGAGGTGATAAATACAATGATGTCAGTAGTATACCTATTATGTGCAAGATCTGTGCAGATGCAGAGGAAAATAAAGATGGATAAGATACAACTCTAAAAGTGCTCAATCTGTTAGAGGACACAGAAAAAAACATGGTCAATCGTGGTACATGACTACGTCAGGTACAAACCATGACGTACAGTGTGAGGTGACAATAGAAAATACAACAGAGCACAGAGAAGAAATTAATTCTGATGGGAACAGGGAGCAGGTAGTGCCAACAGTGGGGAGGCCTTCTCAGAGTAGCATTTGAGCAGGGCCTTAAAGAATAGGTAGCAACAACAGGATGAGGAGAAGCCTTCCAAAGTGAAGGATGACCTACTTTCTTTTTGGACAGATTTTCTGACAGGAGAAAATGTGCTTCCAGACTGGGTAGTTTTAGATGCAAATAAGCATCTGGAATTTGCCCAAGGAAACTAACTGTGGGAGTCTGATAGTGTCAGGAATAACCCTATGGAAGACAGTCTTGAACATTCTATTATAGTGAAAGCTATAACAAGGAGGTCTCAGTGACAAAATGCTTGCTCAAGTCTCCTCATTCCTCTCAAGACTGTTGTCTTCTGGCCCAGCAGCCTTAGTTAAGAATGATCCAAAATTTATCTAACTTATATTTAAAGACCTTTAGTAAAAGGTCTTTCTGAAAGATGTCTCTCTTTTCATAATACTTTGTTTTAATGTTTATCCCTTTGCATAATTCAAATGTGAAACTACCCTAAAATTCAGTGTTCCATCCATGAATTTGCTAATACAGAGTAGAACTGGACATACCACCTTAGTAAGAACCTAGTCAGAAGTGAGAAGATTGAAAAGTTTCACTTGCAGGAGCAGCATCCTGTCATGCACTTTGTGACAGTGCACAGCCTTGGAGGACACCATTCTTGTAAGACTTTACTGTTCTTTATAGGAAAAAAGCCTGATCTGAAGCAGTTTATGAGCGAGAACTGTGAACCCCAGTTGTTTTTCCTCTTGTGTACGTGGCTATCTTATGCCTTAGCAGCTTTATTTTCTTAAATACGGGGTCTCAGTTTTAACATATTGAACTTTATTTTGGCTTTGATTGAACCAAATTCTCTCTAATCCTGTCAGTCATTTTAAAATCTTTCATTATGAAATGTTAATCCTTCCCAGTTTGAATAACTATATTAGTTATCTGTTGCTGTCTAACAATTACCCCAAAGCTTAGTCACTTAAAACAATCAAACATTTATTATCTCAGAATTTCTGTAGGTGACGAACTTGAAAGGGGCTTGGCTAGGAAGTTGTTAGTCAAGATCTCTGGGGTTGTAGTCAAGGTTTTGGCTGGAGCTGTGATCATCCAAAGGCTTGACTGGAGCTGGAAAACCTGCTTCCAGTCTCTCACATATGGGTGATGACAGGAGGCTTTAGTTCCTTATATATGTGCTCTCCCTGGGGAAGCTTGAATATTCTCATGTGACAGCTGGCTTCTTCCAGAGAAGTACACCAAGAGAGCAAGCAAGAGGAACTTAGTCTCTAAATTTTAACGCTATGATTTTATTCTAAGTATAGCCCATACCTAAGGGGAACAGAATTAGAAGAGAAGAGTATCAAAGAATTTGTGCAGAAATCTGCCATTTTTTCACCATTATTGGCTTTTTGGGTCATTTCCTTCCATTGTTTTTTTACATTGCTCTTTTTTACATAGTTGCAATCTTTTTGTGTGTGTATGTGTGTGTATCATTTAAAAAAAATTTTTTTTTTGAGACAGAGTCTCATTTTGTCACCCTCAGTAGTGCCATGGCGTCACGCTTACAGCAACCTCAAACTCCTGGGCTTAAGCCATTCTCTTGTCTCAGCCTCCCAAGTATCTGGGACTACAAGTGCCTGCCATAACACCTGGCTGTTTTTTAGAGACGGGGTTTCTTGCTCAGGCTGGTTTTGAACTCATGAGCTCAGGCAATCCATCCACCTTGGCCTCCCAAGTGCTGGGATTACAGGTGTGAACCCCTGCACCTGGCCATATCACAAAATTTTATATTCTACATTTTTCACTATATGATATTGTCTGTTATTAATGAAAAAGATGCTTTATCCCAGGCCAGCCACTAGGGAATGCTAGTGCTTGAATTGTTCCTACCTCTCTTTCCCTCCCTCCCAACCCTTTCTTTGATAGAACTAACAGAGGTGAGATGGAAGACTAATGGAAGATAGACTCTGACATACAAAGATTAAGGGAGAAGATTCTTAAAGCTATTAGCCTTGTTTATGAGATACTAGGAATAAGACAAGAGAATCCCCAGTGCCACTCAGCCAAAAACTTGATGCTGTATAGATTTTAATTTTCATTCTCCTCTCTTTGCAGCAACTATAGTTTCTCGACAGATGGTTTCAGTGGCTCAGGAGGCAGTGGCAGCCATGGTTCCTCTGTGGGTGTCCAAGGAGGTGTAGACTGGATGAGGAAACTGGCTTTCCGTTACCGAAAAGTGAGAGAAATCTATGATAAGCATAAAAGCAATGTGGGTGGTAAGTGTGGCATACAACCTGTCTAATTCTCTATTTCTTTCTGACTTCCTGCTTTCCTTTCCAGGGATTCCTTAGATTCCTCTGGCGACTGTTTATGAATTGTGCCACAGTAACATGTTAACTCTGTATAAAAAAATGGAGGTTTGGTTGAAACCCGTTGGGAAGGAAGCTGTGCATTTCTGATGGACTTCTCTTATCATAACTTTGCAAACCTCTCTTGTTCTCTTAAGACAAATGCCTTTTTAAAGGAAATGTGTTCCGTAAATCATTTGATAATGTGTTTTATTCTTTAGTGGCAGCTACTGTTTTGGTTTTTGCTTTTGTTTTTTTGAGACAGAATCTAACTTTGTCTCTCAGGTTAGAGTACCATGGCATCCGCCTACCTCACAGCAACCTCAAACTCCTGGGTTCAAGATTCTCCCGCCTCAGCCTCCTGTTGTAGCTGGGACTACTGACACCTACCACAATGCCCCACTAATTTTTCTATGTTTATTTTTGTTTTATTTTATTCTTTTTATTGAGACATAGTTTCACTTTGTCACCCTTGGTAGAGTGCTGTTTTATCATAGCTCATAGCAACCTCAAACTCTTGGGCACAAGCAATTCTCTTGCCTCAGCCTCCCTAGTAGCTGGGACTACGGGTGCCTGCCACGACGCCCGGCCGGCATTTTTTTTTTTTTTTTTGCAGTTCCAGGCTGGGTTCCGACCCACCACCCCCAGAGCATGTGGCGGCGCCCTAATAACTGAGTTATAGACACCCAGCCAATTTTCTATTTTTAATAGAGATAAGGTCTGGCTCTTGCTCAAGCTGATCTTGAACTCCTGACCTCAAGGGATCCTCCCACCTCAGCCAAACCTAACTGTATATTTTGTATGATATGAATTAGCAAAAGTACCACACCATATATTAAGTATGTATAGGTACTGATTTTGTTGTTTTATCCAAAATGTTAAATAAGGCTGAGCATGGTAGTGCATACCTATAATCCTAGCGCTCTGGGAGGCTGAGGTGGGAGGATCCCTTGAGCTCAGGAGTGTTCAAGACCAGCCTGAGCAAGACCTTGTCTCTACTAAAAATAGAAAACTAGCTGGGCATAGGGGTGGCCCCCTGTAGTCCCAGACTTACAGAAAATACAGAGCCAGATTCATTGTTTGAATATTTAACTCAAGTGTCTGACAAGCTCCCCTCAAATTCTGTTTTGTTTTGTGCTTAATTTCTAGTCTTACACAGTGTTTTTGTTTATCAGGTGGAGTGTTTTGAAAGTAAGTATTGGCTTGGTGCCCGTAGCTCAGTAGTTAGGGCACTGGCCACATACACTGAGGCAGGCAGGTTTAAACCTGGCCTGGGCCTACTAAACAACAATGACAACTACAACAAAAAAAATAGCCAGGTGTTGTGGTGTTCTTGCCAGCTACTTGGGAGGCTGAGGCAAGAGAATCACTTAAACCCAAGAGTTTGAGGTTGCTGTGAGCTATGATGCCACGGCACTCTACCAAGGGTGACATAGTGAGACTGTCTTAAAAAAAAAAAAAATACAGTAGAGAGTTGCTCATTCAATTTGCAATCTCAGGTTGTGAACTATGATGCCACAGCACTCTACCAAGGGTGACATAGTGAGACTGTCTTAAAAAAAAAAAAATACAGTAGAGAGTTGCTCATTCAATTTGCAATCTCAGGTTGTCATATTCTGAGGCACGCTAAGTGTACTTATCATAGGAGTGGGGTATGGTAATGAAAAGATTCCTGAGATGAAAAACTACAAAGTTGCTGGTGCCCTTTCTCCCTTGGCCTTTGGTTTGAACTACTAAGATTTTCTGTCCACTTACTTTGCTTCTAAAGCTGTGCTGCTCAAAAAATGTGGTCCACTGCTTTGTAAGTGATGTTGCTGGTTAGCGAGGAAAGAGGGAGTTTGCACCAGAATCAATCATGTTTCTGTCATCTGATTTTATTGTTGTCATTGCCTATAACAAAAGATTCTGATGAAGAAAGTCAAAATGGCATTTTAAGTTGTGTTACTCTAAGATTTCTCTATGAAGTGAAATACATTAATTCAGGAAATTATTTCAATGATTCACATTGTGTTTAAATTAAATTTAGGAGATGCTTCCTTAGTATCAGCAAATATATGTTGTCAAATAATAAACATGTCTGCTTTTTTTCCCAAAGGCCTCCTCAGTCCCCAAAGAAAGGAAGCACTGCAAAGATTAAGAGCAGAAATTGAAGTTTTAACAGATTCCTGGTTAGGAACTGCACTAAAGTCCTTACTCCTCATCCAGTCCAGGTATGGAAATGATTCTTTTAGTCTCATCTTTGCAAAGACATACTCTTCACTACCCCAGTCTAGGCTAGGCTGTTCCCTAAAATAGGTTTTGGGATAGAGGTGAAAGAAGTTGAAATGATGCAGTAATTTATTTAAATTAGATGGGAGGCCAGGTCATTTTATGTTAACAGCATACTTTAGAGTTTTAAGTGAATATTTATATATGTGAAATCCTTTTTCTTTCCTCTTTTTGTTCACCAAAGTAAAACTCAATAACCATCCAGAAAAACTTGGTGACATCAAAGAATACATGCAGGAGACCTATTACAAATATCCTAAGTGTGAAAACTCCAAGAAATATACTTAGACCCACTTAAGAAGACAAAATTCAGGAGAAGAGTTCATTAAGTAGATTAAGATTTCAGCATGAAGCTTAGACCAGAAAATAGAACCATGTCTGCACCAGTACCCTATTGCTCTCTCCCTACTACTAGGAATTCCAGATGTACAACCTAGTGGAATAAATAGTAAAACTGAGGCTGAGGAGTAGATAAGATACTAAAGGTAAAGGGCATGTAAAATTAGTATGTATTCTAGAATCTGTGTTGGTCTTGTATGAAAAATAGAACTTAAATCATACCTCCTTTACGGACTGAATTACATTCTGGTAAAATAGTACAGCACCTGCAAGCTTTTTGCTGTTTTGTTTTCTAAAATACGGTGCCAGTAATATGGGTTAGTAGTATTTACTAACAAGTTTGTGAACTAGAATGATCCTTAAGGAGATAAGGCAAGAATTAAGATGCTTCTCTGTGTCTACTGAGAGACTAAAAAGAGTAGAATATATGCCTTTTACTATAGAAAATAAACAACCTAAAACAATAAGAACATAAAAATAATAACAACTGAATATGGACACTACACATACCAGGCCCTTTGAGTTTAGTTTTTAATAATTAGATCTTAAAGAGTTGGCCAATTTGAATTTTTGCTTCAGGTTGACTTATTTTATTTTTTTCTTTACTTTTTCTTCTTACTCCCTTCTAGAAAGAATTGTGTGAATGTTCTGATCACCACCACCCAGCTGGTTCCAGCCCTGGCCAAGGTTCTCCTATATGGACTAGGAGAAATATTTCCTATTGAAAACATCTACAGTGCTACCAAAATTGGTATGGTTTCTATTTTGTTTCTTGTCACTCGCCTTAAAATGAAACTTTCTACTCATGATGTACCTATTATTTGCCAGCTTCTATTAGAAATTTATTTTATATAATATGTTTTCCTCACAGTAGTCTTCTAATATTTCTGATGAGGCATTTGAGGCTTAGCAGTTATATAACTTGCTGAATGCCTCACAATTAGTTACATAAACATACTGTTTAATAATATTTAAAAGAACATATCTAACTTAGAAATCTATTTTTGGCTCATTTCAAGTTTTTCTATCTTTTTTCATAGAGAATATATAGTATGATAGAAAAGGCACTAGATTTGAGGCTGGGCGCAGTGGCTCATGCCTGTTATCCTAGCACTCTGGAAGGCTGAGGCAGGTGGATTGCTTGGACTCACAGGTTCAAGACCAGCCTGAGCCAGGGCAAGACCTCATCTCTAAAAATAGCTGGGTGTTGTGGCAGGCACCTGCAGTCCCAGCTACTTGGGAGGCTGATGCAAGAGAATTGCTTGAGCCCCAGAGTTTGAGGCTGTGAACTATGTGAACTATGTGAACTATGCTGTGAACTATGACATTACAGGCTGTGTAACTATGTGTAACTATGACATTTGAGGCTGTGAACTATGTGAACTATGCTGTGAACTATGACATTACAGCGCTCTGCCAAAGGTAACAAAGTGAGACTGTCTCCAAAAAGAAAAGAAAGAAAGAAAAGGCACTAGATTTTAAATCAAGAACTAAACTGTATACTTAAAAATGGTTAAAATCCCTTTCACCCAGCAAGGCAGGCATCCTCAAACTACGGCCCATGGGCCATATACGGCCCGCCGAGGACATTTATCCAGCCTGCTGGGTGTTTTTGCCGCTGCTGCCTGTGCTGCTTAGTAGCCAACTCGTCCCAGGGATTGCAGTTCAGCCCTCCAACAGTCTGAGGGACAGTGAACTGGCCCCCTGTTTAAAAAGTTTGAGGACCCCTACAAAGGTGACTGCTGTCAAAAAAACAGAAAATTATGTATTGTTGAGGTTGTGGAAAAATTGCAACTTTGTACACTGTTGGCAGTACTTTAAAATAATGCAGATATTATCAGGCACAGTGGCACAGGTGGCACATTACCTGTGGTTCCACCTACTTGTGTAGCTGAGGCAGGAGGATTGCTTGAGCCTGGGAGTTCAAATTCAGCCTGGGCGACATAACAAGATCCTGTCTCTTAAAAAAAAAATGATGAAACTGTTACGAAAAACTAACTATATGGTGGTTCCTCAGAAAAAAATAAAAGTAGAAATACCATATGAGGCCAGGCTCAGTGACTCACACCTGTAATCCTAGTACTCTGTGAAGCCAAGGCAGGAGGATCCCTTGAGCTCAGGAGTTGGAGACCAGATAGAGCAAGAACAAGATCCTGCCTCTACTAAAAATAGAAAAAATAGCCAGGCACTGCAGGGCCCAGCTACTCGGAAGGTTGAGGATCACTTGAGCCCAGGAGCTTGAGGTTGCTGTGAGTTAAACTGGTGCCACTGCACTCTAGCATGGGCAACAGAGTAAGACTCAAAAAAAAAGAAAGAAAGAAAAGAAATGCCATATAAACTAGCAATCCTACTTCTGGGTAAATATCTAAAAGAATTAAGCCTTAGATTCTTGGGTTATATCCAACTATCCAAAAGCAGGCACTCTACCAAGGATGACATAGTGAGATTGTAGTCAAAAAAAGAAAAAAGACAAATATAGTAGAACCTCTGTAAGTTCACCACCCAAAGGATTGTAACAAAGTGGTCAACATAAGGAACTTTCTTTGAGTACATGTGACACATGTGTGGTCTGTGAAAATTAGGTCAACTAAAGGAGATGGTAGATGTAGGGAGGGAGGTAACTATGAAGGTTCTGCTATATCGTATAATTCCATTTATAGAGGTACCTAGAGTGGTCAAATTCTTAGAAAGTAGAATGGTGATTACCAGAGGCTCAAGGGAGGGAGGGAATAGGGAGTGTGTAATGAGTTTAACATTCTTCTTAGTAAAGTATCCCAAGAATGGAAAAGCAAACATCCAATGTTCTCAATACAAATATGAAGCCAATAGATGATCTAATAACTCCCACATAAAAGAAAAACTGAATTCAAGTTGTAGGGAAGTGGAGCGAGGGAAAGGGAGGGATTAGTGTGCTCAAACTTAATGGGCACAATTTTAAGAGTATATGGCAACTATAAGAGGGAATCTACCTAATAAGTGCAAATATTGTAACCAAGTTGTTTGTACCCTCACAGTAACCTGAATTTAAAAAAAAAATGTTTAATGAGTTTAGAATTTCAGTTTTGTAACATTAAAAGGTTTAAGTGAGCTGTTGGACAGTAGTGTAAGAATAACCTAACACTACTGAACAATACCATTTAAAAATGGTTAAGATGGTAAATTTTATGTGTTTTTAAATAATTTTTAAATTTTTTCAAGTTTATATTAGCAAAGTATATGTTACACATATTTTACCATAGTTTTTTAAAAAGGAAAAAGAAAATAAAAATCATGGACTGAGATTTAAATCCTGGCTACCCCATTGATTAGCTCTTACCTTAGGATATTATCTTATCTCCTGAGCCTCAGTTTTCTCATATAATTGAGAATCTCTAAAGGGAGTTATGAAAATCAAATGAGACTGCATATGTGAAGGTAGATTTCAACCTCTCAACCTCTAAAAATGTTCTTAACAGTAGGCATATAAAGTAATAGATAAACAATAAACATTTGCTGAGTTAATTAATTGGCACCAGGTTTATATAGCTCCCCACATGTGCAGGTGAGAAGACAGCAGAATGTCTCACTGATTCTGCATGTGCTCTGGGGAAAGCGTATGACAACCATCCCTTTGTCCCCATATCCTTTAGACTATGTGTATAATCTCTACTTCCCTATTGTTGCAAAGGGGAGCGTCTTAGAGTTTAAGGATGAGCCATGGTCATTCATTTCCTGATCTTCTACATGCCTGTTGATCAGCTTTCTCTATAAAAAACAGGTCTAATTTTCTTTATATCCCAGGATCTGTGGAGGTCATCAATAAGCCCACAAAGTACTGTCAACATTTCTTTTTTTTTTCCGTCATTTGACAAATGTTTATTGATCACCTTTTATGTTCCAGGCATTGTTCTAGGTACTGGGGATGTCACAGTTAACAAAAAAGAAAAAATCACTGCCCCTAGTGGGAGAAGATAGTTGATGAATAAGTAAAACAAAATATGTCAGATGGTAAGAAGTACTACGATAAAGATCAGTCCTGGGGCAAAGCTAGGGTTGTGTTTTAGATAGGAGTTAGAGGGCGGTGCCTGTGTCTCAGCGGGTAGGGCTCTGGCCCCATATACCAAGGGTGGTGTGTTCAAACCCGGCCTCAGGCTCAGCACCTATAGCTCAACCGGCTAAGGCGCCAGCCAC